CTCAGTGGTAGAGCGCTTGCCTTGCATGCCCGAGGCCCTGGGTTCGATTCCTCAGCACCACATAAGCAAAAAGAAAAAAGCTGGAAGTGGCGCTGTGGATCTAGTGGTAGAGCGCTAGCCTTGAGCTGAAGAGCTGAGGGACAGCGCCCAGGCCCAGAGTTCAGGCCACAACTGGACCCAAAAACAAAGCAAAAAAGAAAACCTCATTTAGTATTTTTCTTGGTTATGATTGCATTCGCTCTAATGTCATAAATTCACAAATGTCAGGGGTTGGGTATATAGCTCGGTGGAACAGTGTGAACAGTATATAGAAAGCACTGGATTTGAGATGGAAATGTGGCTTAGTGGTATAGTGCTTGCCTCATATGCATAAAGCCCCGGGCTCGATTCCTCAATACCATATACACAGAAAAAAGCAGAAGTGACGCTGTGGCTCAAGTGGTAGAGTGCTGGTTCTTGAGCAAAAGAAGCTTGGGGACAATGCCCAGACCGAGTTCAAGCCCCCAAGACTGACAGAAAAAAAAAAAAAGGCGGCATTGGATTTGACACCTAAAGACAAATAACTGCAAGATGGATGGATGGATGGATGGATGGATGGATAGATAGATAGATAGATAGATAGATATGCATGCAATGACACATAATTTAAAACAAACCCATAAAGTCCTTCTAAGTTCAGCATCTGGGAGTTCAGTTGCAAGTTTTAGATTTTCAAAGCTGATTTTCTCTCTAGGTCTTTGGTTCCATGCAAACAACACAGCCAACTGAAACGTGGTCACCTCCAAGTCATATTGACCTACTTCATTCTTAAATGTTATCTACAGAAAACAGACTTTAGTTAGTACAAAATCTCTTTATGATGATTACCAACTAGTTAATAAAATGTTACACATGTTGCATGTGAAAAATACTACACTTTGTCTATTCTTCCTGTCTCACATAGGAACAGAAATTTTAGCAGGCCTCATTTTAGGAGACTCATCTCCTGGCCTTCCCTATAGTAAAATGTGCCCACATGATTGCATTCGCTCTAATGTGCTACAATGAGAAATGGGAAAATATTCACAACATGTTCTTAAGGGGAAATCCATCTTCTCCATTCCCTTCCTGTGCACAGGAAGACACACAGTGGGAATCAAACTGAATTCTATACACAAGGGCTGTGGAATACAGTAGGCATAATGGTGCAGTCCGAAGACTACATCCCAACCAATTTCATGGATAAATCCATTACACTTTCTATGTGGAAACGGAAAAAAAAAATCTATTCTGTACTGGTGCCCATTTTTTAAGTCTTTCTACTTTTACCCAACACACCATCTACTTACAATTCCATTTGACATGAGATGATGCCAGTGTAATTTCCTACCACTATGATTTTTTTTGTAAAATTCTTCTACTTCAGGAATCAAATCTTCCAGTTCAGTAGGAAGTGAGACAAAGACTTTCTCAGAACTTCTTGACCAGGCACCAGCATTCAGAATCTTGATATTAACTGAGTCAGCTAAAGGTAAGAAATCAGAAAGTGTAAAATATAAATAATCCCGATAATGGATACAATTCAAAATAAATAGTAGAGATTTTCAGTGAAAAACAAATAAGACAGAAGGTTTTGTTAAAAGTATCCTTGTTTCTAAGTAAGATTTCCAAATCTACCACTAGGCCTTGACAGCTATCTCTAAGGAATATGGACTTCATTCCATCCTTGGATCTATTACTGCTAACATTTATTTTCCTTCTGGTGCTGCTTTATTGTGCCAGTCCTAGGACTTGAACTGAGGGCCTGGACCCTGTCCCTGAGCTTTTTATGTTCAAGGCTATCACTCTGCCACTTGAGCCACAACTCCACTCCCAGCTTTTTTCGTAGTTTAATGACAATAAGATTTTCCTCCCTGGGCTGGCTTAGAACTGGGATCCTCAGATCTCAGCTCCTTGTGTAGCTAGGATTACACATGTGAGCCACCAACACCAGGCCTCACATCTAATATATTTATTTTATTGGTCATGGACCTTCAACTCTGGGCCTGGGCACTGGCCCTCAGCTCTTCAGCTCAAGGCTAGTGCTCTGCCACTTGAACCACATGCCACTTCTGGTTTTCTGGTAGTTAACTGGAGATAAGAGCCTCAGAGATGTTCGTGCTTAGGTTGGCTTTGAACTGTAATCCTCAGATCTCAGCCTCCTGAGTAGCTAGGATTACAGGTTTCAGCCACCAGCACCAGGCACATCTATTCTTAGTAAATAGAAAAGACATTCTTTCAGAAAAAGTTTGAAAATACTTTATGTGTAATAATAAAATAATACCTGGTAAAGCCAATTTATTATTTTTGTGCATTTCCTTAAAAGCCTGGTTCAGATCTTCAGATACCTTTATGTCCTGAAACATTCTAGCAAGCTTGTTTACATAATCTGCTGGCATACCAACTTCCTACAAAAACCAAACACGGAAAGAAATAACATGTAATTGGTTATACTACAAAGACAAAGTGTAAAAAGTGTTAACAAACTGTCTTAGATGCTTATTGATACAAATTTCTTATCCAGAGGGATGTTTCTAAGAATGTTTATTATAGTCAAATACCTATTAAATTTGATTCTTAGAAACTAAGTAGGTTGGTACAGGCAGTTCTTGATTTGCACAGTAGCAACATGTATGACATCAGTTACTACAATATAGTTAATATTCATTACTAACAACTCCCCTCAACTTCAGATGCTACTAGATTGATAAATATGCCTGCATAAAGAATAAACTTCACTCTTAGCACCTCAATCCACATTTTATGAAAAAACGTAACCACAGACTGGAAGAATAGCACAGTAGTACAGCATTTGCCTTGTGCAAGGCACTGAGTCTAAGCATCAGTACTGGAATAAAACAAACAAACAGAAGACAACAAAAACCCAGAAGCACATCTCAATCCGTTACCCAAACACAAAACTTTACTCAAATAAAAAGTGGCACTAGCCAGTCAATGAAGGCTTACACCTGTAATCCTAGTTACTCAGGAGGCTGAGATCTGAGGATTATGGTTCAAAGCCAGCCTGGGCAGGAAAAGTCCTTGAGACTCTTAGTTCCAATTCAAGCTGTGGTTCAAGTGACAGAGCACTAGTCTCAAGCAAAAGAGCTCAGGACCAAAGTCCCAAGCCCTGAGTTCAAGGCCCAGTATTGGCACCAAAAAAAAAAAAAGGTGGTAATGTTGGAAGTACCAATACAATAAAATATAAAATGGAGGTATAGAAGAAGACAGCAGACTAAGGTTGGAATATTGATACTATGAACACTGTCCTAGAACTGACACGTGCGCGTGCGCGCGCGCACACACACACACACACACTCTCTCTCTCTCTCTCTCTCTGGTCTTTCCTGTCAGTCTGGCTTTCTCATTCCTAAAATCTCAGCTTCCTGAGTAGCTAAAATTACAGAAATGAGCCACCAGTACCCAGCTCTGGTACAGTAACTTTTGAGTGAAACTTTCAATTTAAAAAAAGAATTTTTTTATTGTGAAGGTGATACACAAAGGGGTTATAGTTACATAAGGTAGTTAGTAGATTTCTTTTCAAACAGTGTTAATCCCTCTTGTTCTCTCCTACTTTCCCTCTCAACCCACTCCCCTCCCCAGCAAGTTATAAAGTTCATTTCCAACATAGTGTCTAGTGAGCATCTCAGCTGCACTGGCTCACACTTTGTCCTACCATTTCTGTGATTCCCCTTCCCTCCACAAGTCAGATAAACATATATACAAAGGGTACCAAAATCAGAAATAGGGACTACGGGGAATAAACAAGAAGAGAAAGAAACAAAAGACAAAAGAAATTGCAAACAGTATTGATTTTTTTTAAATCATTATTGTTCCTCCTGAGCAGTTCCAGTTAGCACAGTAGTTTTTATGACCCGTGCCAAAGCATGAGTACTCAAAGTTTAAAATTGTTCTCTGTATACAAAGAACATTCATTTTAATAAAATTCAAATACCATTATTAAATGAACTGAAAGGAACAAATGTTAAAATATTCTTATATGGGTGTTTAGTTATAATTAACATTGACTACCTTAGGTAGCTACTATGTAAAGAACCTTTCTGCAAATGAAAATTAAGGACAAATGAACAATTTGTCTTTAAGCCTACTTAATAAAGTCAGTTTAAATCAAAGAGTACAACTAGTAGTCAAACAATAAAAACAAATCAGAAACAAGTGCAGAATTAGAATGTATTAAGAAAATGAACTTGGGCTGGGAAGGTGGCTCAGTGGTAGAGCGCTTGCCTTGCATGCAAGAGGCCCTGGGTTCGATTCCCCAGCACCACATAAGCAAAAAGAAAAAAAGCCGGAAGTGGTGCTATGGCTCAAGTGGTAGAGTGCTAGCCTTGAGCTGAAGAGCTAAGGGACAGCGCCCAGGCCCAGAGTTCAGGCCCCACGAACGGACCCCAAAAAAAAAAAAAAAAAGAACTTTAATGGATATAATTTTATATACTTGATGCTGTGTTCTTATAAAATGATTCCTACTTCTTTGACATTAACAGTAACACCAAACTATATTACTCATGCAGACATACAAATCATGTGCTATGTAAGAACACTAAATATTAAAAAATAAGCCTATTAAAAAATAAGCCGGGCACCATGTGCTATGTAAGAACACTAAATATTAAAAAATAAGCTGGCTCACACCTGTAATCCTAGCTGCTCAGGAGGCTGAGATCTGAGGATTGCAATTCAAAGCCAGCCCGGGTAGGAAACTCCATGAGACTCCTATCTCCAATAAACCACCAGAAAACTGGAAGTGGTGCTGTGGCTCAAGCGGTAGAGCGCTCACCCTGAGCTGAAGAGCGCAGGGACAGCGCCCAGGCCCAGACTTCAAGCTTCACAACCGACAAAAAATAAAAAATAAAAATAAATAAACAAATAAAAATAGTTTACTTACTCTTAGCCACTCTACCATATTTTCTTCAATTTCACTATCAGCAGAGATGTCTAATATAAGACGTCGTGTCAAATGAGCTTTGTGATACCTCATAAAAACGTCTTTGTTCTGCACATACTTAAGTACCAAAAGCTGTAAAGAAAACAAAGTTACTTCCAATTCTTACATGTTATGAACCATCTCCCTCATTTAGACATGTCTATCTCTCCTACTTATCAAAATGCAAAAATTTTACATAAGAGGCAAGTAAATTAGTCACCTTGGAAATATAACCAGCCCTGGTGCACACTTCCAAGTTAGTTGAGATTATAATCAAATAACTACATCAGTTTTCCATATTTTACATAAATGTGACAATAGTTTACATAAAAATCAACAGTTTTCCCCCCCAATTTTCTACTTATTAGCTTCACACATACCCTTTTTTTTGCCAGTCCTGAGGCTTGAACTCAGGACCTGGGCACTGTCCCCTAGCTTCTTTTGCTCATGGCTAGTATTCTACCACTTGAACCATAGCACCACTTCTGGCTTTTTCTGTTTAGGTGTACTGAGGAATTGAACCCAGGACTTCATGCTTGCTAGACAAGCACTCCACCACTAAGCCACATTCTCAGCCTTAGCTTCCCTTTCTTTTTTCCCCCCCTTGGGCCTTTTCTGCCTATATTTGTTCTATCTCATTTAATTATTTTTCCTCTTTGCATTCTTAGACTTTACTAACTTAGGAAGAGTCCAAAAAAATAAATATAGGCAAGGAACTAACAACTATCTACTATCTAAGAGTCCCTATCTTGGGGACTCTTACAAAAAGGAGTGAAAATCTTCGTGGAAAACTTCTAATTTCTCAAATTACCACTCCAAACCTATGGAGTCTTTTTCCCCTTTTATCCTTTAACAGGAGCTAAAACTTAATAACCTAAAAGAATAAAGAGATGGGTGCAGAAAGTGGAGGCAGAATAATGTCTAGTTTAAGGCCAGTATGAGTAACATACTAAGTTCAAGGTTAGCCTGAGTTACAAAACAACAAAGTTGCCAGGTGCTGGTAGCCTATAATCCTAGTTATTCAAAAGGCTGTGATCTGAGGATCACAATTTAAAGCCAGTGTGAGCAGAAAAGTCCCAGTAGAGCTATGGCTCAAAGTGGTAGAGTGCTAGATTTGAGTAAAAGTTTAGGGACAGCACCTTGGCCCCAAGATCAAGCCTCCCATCACAAATAAAAATAGAGAGGAAAAAAAAGAACAACCACAAGAAAGACCCCATTTCAAAAAACTAATGGATGGCATGCAGCTCAGTGGTACAGTGCTCATCTACCAAGTATAAGGTCTATACCATCACCAAAAACTGAGAGGAGGGAAAGACTAGATTATTTTCCTTTCAGACAACTATAGAATAAAATTTCTTTGTTAGAAAAAATAAATACCTTTTGATGGGTGTCAGTGGCTCACGCCTGTAATCCTAGCTACTCAGGAGACTGAGAATGAGGATCACGGTTCAAAGCCAGCCCAAGCAGGAAAGTCCATGAGACTTTTATCTCCAATTAACAACCTGAAAACTGGAAGTGGCACTGTGGCTCAAGTGGTAGAGTAGAGCTCTCACCTTGAGATCATGAACAGCACCAGGCCCAGAGTTCAAGCCCACCCTACCCCATCCCCCCCCATAGACAAAATAAATACCCTGTAGAGCTACAGCAGCAGCAAAGTTCATAATAACAATTGCTTAAAAACTTTTCTGATATTACGGAATGTCTAAAAAGCAAAATGCTCAAAGTAAGACAATTAGAAAATCTGAAACACAAGCTAGGTACCACTGACTCATGCCTGTAATCCTACTCAGGAGGATGAGATGTGAGGATCACAGTTAGAAGCCAGCCTGGGCAGGAAATTCTGCGAGACTCTTATCTCCAATAAACTACTCAGAAAAAGCACTGTGGCTCAAGCAGTAGACCACCAGCCTTGAGCACAAGAAGCTCAGGGACAGCATCCAGGCTGAATTCAAGCCCCAGGACTGGCACTAAGAAAAACCCACAAAACAGATACAGAAAATCTTCATGTTTGCCTGTGTTGCAGGGAATTGCTTTGAAAATAACTGCTGTGCTCTCCTTACCACTACAAGTCCTAAATCTTTCTCTGGTCTTAAAAAAAATTTTTTTTATATATATTAAAAAAACTATGTACCACTTCTTTGAGCTTTGCTTCAATTTCTTCAGAGGTTAGTTTTTTGCTTAATGGTGTTTTTCTCAGCAACATGTCACAGTAATTGGCAAGTAACTCAGGGCATTTTGATTCAGGTTGAGTTTTCAATCCCACTCTAGAAAAAAAAAGTTGATGAAAATTGATGTTAGCAAATATTGCTTTTCTAAACCCAATTTTTCACAAACTCCTTACTTTTATTGAATCATTTAAAAAGCTCTTATGACAAATAGTAATTAAGGCTGATACTTACATGAGTACAATGTCTAGAGTATGTAACTTTTTTTGTGTGTGCCAATCCTGGGGGTTGAACTCAGGGCCTGGACACTATCCCTGAGCTTTTGTGCTGAAGGCTAGCACTCTAAAATTTGAGCCACAGCTCCATTTCCACCAAGCTTTTGGTGATTAACTGGAGATAAGAGTCTCATGGATGTTCCTACTCGGGATGGTTTTGAACCACGATCCTCAAATCTCAGCCTCCTGAGCAGCTAGAACTCAGGCCCAGAGTTCAAGTCCTAGTTTTTAAAAAAAAATCTAGCCAGGAATGGTCGCACACACTTGATCTTAGTAGTCAGGAGGAAGAAACAAGATCAAAAGTTTGGGATTGGGCTGGGAAGGTGGCTCAGTGGTAGAGCGCTTGCCTTGCGTGCATGAGGCCCTGCTTTTGATTCCTCAGCACCACATAAGCAGAAGAAAAAGAAAAGCTGGAAGTTGCGCTGTGGCTCAAGTGGTAGAGCGCTAGCCTTGAGCTGAAGAGATGAGGGAAAGCGCCCAGGCCCAGAGTTCAGGTCCCACAACGGACCCAAAAAAAAAAAAAATGTTTGAGATCAGCCTAAGATATGTCACAAGAATCTGTCTCACAAAATAAAACAAAGAACCAAACCTTACAGGGAAATAGAGAACCTTGCAGACCCAGTAACAAGTACTACAGACCCCCACAGTTATTTTTAATGTATGGTTTTACAATACTTACCCTTTCTGCTTCAATGGTAGTTCAAGTTTAAATATGGTAGCATCATTAACAACTGCTTTATAAGCCTGTAAAAAATAATTTGAAATGGAATATAATTGCTATACTTAAATACTTAAAATATGCTGACAAGTTGTTAAGACTTTCAAAACTACATAAAAATATGAATCAAGTGGTTGTGTTTGTTGTTTACCTTTCACATGGTACTAGGGATTGACTTGATGTCCAATGTATGTACTTTATGTATGTCCAAAGCATGTACTTTATTACTAAGCCTCCTCTGCACCCTTATGTGTCAATACTAGAGTTTTAACTCAGGACTTTGGACTTTACTTGGCTTGCTCTGCTGACTCTTACTTGGGCCATGCCCTCTAGCCCTGCTTTCTAATGGGATGTTTTTGAGATGGGAGTCTCTCAGACTTTTCTGCCTGAGCTGGCTTCAAACTGTGATTCTTTAGATTTCAGCCTTCTGAGTAGCTAGGATTACAGGCTTAAGACACTGGTACTCAGCTTCTAGTTTCTTTTTGAGCCACCGGCACCTGTCTGCCAGTGTGTATTTTCAATGATACATCTGGCCTAACAGAAGCCTTTTTCAAGCCGTCTAACATACTATAATGCATATTCTTTGCCATGTTAACCATCACTAATCTCAAGTAAGGGACTTCCTGCTGCCTGACACCCACACCCATTTTCTCTTGTGCAGTTTCCTATTCTCCTAAACAACTTTTTCTTCAAATTTCCAATATTCCCTAGGTACACCCCCACCGTCCCCCCCCCCAAAAAAAATGCTCGGGGCCGATGGCTCATACCTGTAATCCTAGCTACTCAGGAGGCTGAGATCTGAGGATCATGGTTCAAAGCCAGCCTGGGCAGAAAAGCCCATGAGACTGTTATCTCCAATAAACCACCAGAAAACCCAAAGTGGTGCTGTGGCTCAAGTGGTAGAGCACTAGGCTTGAGCTGAAGAGCTGAGGGACAATACCCAGAGTTCAAGACACATGATCCAAAAAAAAAGCTATGGCTTCCTGTTTTACTGAAGGAAGAAATCATTTCTTCTTCTTTTTTTGGGGGTCGGGTCGTGGGGCCTGAATTCTGGGCCTGGGTGTTGTCCCTCAGCTCTTCAGCTTAAAGCTAGCACTCTACCACTTGAGCCACAGCACCACTTCCGGCTTTTATTTTTCTTCTGCTTATCTGGTGCTGAAGATTGGAACCCACGGCCTCATGAATGCAAGGCAATCGCTCTACCACTGAGCCACCTTCCCAGCCCACTCCTTCATTTTTGAAAGAACTAAACATAACAATACCTTAGGCTAGGGCTGGGAATGTGGCTTAGTGGTAGCTTGCTTGCCTAGTATGCATGAAGCCCTGGGTTCAATTCCTCAGCACCACATAAGCAGAAAAATGTGAAAGTGGCACTGTGGCTCAAGTGGTAAACTAGCCTTGAGCAAAAGAAGCTCAGGAAGCTGGGCACCGGTGACTCATGCCTGCAATCCTAGCTACTCAGGAGGCTGAGATCTGAGGGTCACCGCTCTAAGCCAGCCTGAGCAGGAAAGTCCGTGAGACTCTTATCCAATAAACCACTAGAAAACCGTAAGTGGCACTGTGGCTTAATCGGAAGAGCGCAGGGACAGCACCCAAGCCCAGAGTTCAAGCCCTACAACCGACCAAAAACAAAAACAAAAAGAGTCTCAGGAACTTTCCTGCCCGGGCTGGCTTTGAACTGCGATCCTCAGATCTCAGCCGCCTGAGTAGCTAGGATTACAGGTGTGAGCCACCAGTGCCCAGCTGTTTTCTCTTCTTCATCTTCACATATGATTGGTAATCACAAGCAACGTCAGTGCTTTTAAAAACATCTATATGCAAAAGCACCATTCTCTCAAACTCACACTCTACATTACCACTTGGATGAACAACACACATTTCAAAGTCAATCTGCTCAAAACTAAGTTTGTGATTTCTCTGCAGCTCTCTCTCCAAAGCTTGTTTCTCCAAGTCTTAACCAGCACAGTACACATATGAAACAGACTTCAAGTCTTGCATGTTGTCTCCTTTTCTTTTTCTTCCTTCCCTAAGTAATTCTAAAATAATTTCCTTTAGAGTAACCTTTTAGTTCTATGTATGCACATGTACATATATCTTATCATGTCATGGTTCATATCTAAATATGCAACTAGGAAAAAAAACCAAAATACCAGGACATTAATTTTGAGAACCTGAGAAAGATGGCAGTGGCATGGCAACCATTATAAGTTCAGGAATGACAAAGACAGAATTTATGAGCTGGGGAAAGGGGTCAGCCAAAACATCTTTCAATTGCCAAACTACAGGACTAATTTAACAAATGTTGCCAAGCCTCTTCCAAATCTGTAGACTTCTGTCAGTATCCAGACTGGAATGTAAAATTATGGAAATCTGTTACTGCCTATGCACTCCACTAAAAATGTCCAGGAATGAACAATTCCTGGGTAGGGAATTTTTTGGGCGGAAAAGGGGGACGGTCAGTTGTGGAGCTTGGAACTCCGGGCCTAGGCACTGTTCCTCAGCTCTTCAGCTCAAGGCGAATGCTCTACCACTTGAGTCACAGTGCAACTTCCAGTTTTCTGGTGGTTGAAGATTAAGAGTCTAATAGACTTTCATGCCCAGCCTGGCTTTGAACCTCAATCCTCAGATCTCAGCTTCCTGAGTAGCTAAGATTACAGGATTATAAGCAAAAGCACCTGGTTTTTTTATTTTTTGATGCCAGTCCAGGGTCTGAGCACTGTCTCTGAGCTTTTTTGCTCATATGAGATACAGCTCCCACTTCTGGCTTTATTTGGAAATTAATTGGAGGTAAGAAATCTCCCAGGTTTTTTCCTACAAGGGCCAGCTTCAAACAATTCTCAGATCTCAGCTGCCTGAGTTGCTAAGATTATTAATTGGAGGTAAGAAATCTCCCAGGTTTTTTTCCTACAAGGGCCAGCTTCAAACAATTCTCAGATCTCAGCTGCCTGAGTTGCTAAGATTATAGGCATGAGCCACCAGAGCCTGGCTTGAGTTGGAGAAACTTTGAACAGATTTAAAAAATTTCTTTGCAGATTAAAACTCACTGTTGAAATAATACTACAACTGGTATTACCTACAATCTTCTCCTTTAATTTTCTTCCTCCCCCACCTTCACAAACTGTGTTACCTGAATTTCCCAAGTAAACCATATAAAAAATAAAAAAGTGAGGGGCTGAGAAGGTGGCTCAGTGGTAGAGTGCTTGCCTTGCATGCACGAGGCCCTGGGTTCAATTCCTCAGTACCACATAAGCAGAAAAGGCCAGAAGTGGTGCTGTGTTTCAAGTGGTAGAGCGCTAGCCTTGAGCTGAAGAGCTGAGGGATAGCGCTCAAGCCCAGAGTTCAGGCCCTACAACCAACAACAACAACAAAAAAGTGAGCAGGCACGGGTGGCCCACGTCTGTCATCCTAGCTATTCAGGAAGCTGAGATCTGAAGATAGCGGTTCAAAGCCAGCCCGGGAAGGAAAGTATTCGAGACTCTCATCTCCAATAAACCACTCACAAAACCGGAAGTGGCGCTGTGGCTCAAGTGGTAGAACACTAGCCTTGAGCTAAAGAGTTGAGGGACAGAGCCCAGGCCCAGAGTTCAAGCCCCACAACCGACAAAAAAAAGTGAGAGAAAAAGCGGAGATCTGAGGATTGTGGTTCCAAAAAGAAAACACTTCTGACAACCTCTTCCACGAACCATCACTCTGAGAGAAGTCAGTAATTACTTTACTAATTTAAATGCATTCTTACTCTGTTTTCTTGCTTTTCTCGACTCCCTCCAGTTCTGTTTCTTTCTTTTTTTTTTTAATTGTGAAAATACTGTACAGAGGGGTTACAATTACATGGGTAAGATAATGAGTACATTTTTTTATCAAGCATTGTAGCCTCCTCCTTTGTTTCCCCTTCCCATCCCTTCCCATCCTCCCCCCTGCCCCCCACCCAATCCTCCTCCTCCCCTCCCTCCCCCTCCAACAAAGTTGTAAAGTTCGTTTTCAACATAATGACTTATACACCTCATTGTTGCAATGGGTCCACCTGTATCCCTATTTAAACCATTTGTTTTTTCCCTTCCCCTCCACAAATTATACCTACATCAAATACAGTGAAAGCAGGGATTATATTGTGGGGAAGGGACATACAAAGCAACAAAGAAATAATCTTATAAATGTGTCAGAAACAATCGCATGAAAGAAAAAAACATTTGAATACATATCTTAGGGTTCATTTCCCTAACATCAACTTCTTGTTCTTTTTTTTTTTTTTTTTGTCGGTCGTGGGGCTTGAACTCTGGGCCTGGGCGCTGTCCCTCAGCTCTTCAGCTCAAGGCGAGTGCTCTACCACTTGAGCTACAGCGCCACTTCCGGTTTTCTAGTGGTTTATTGGAGATAGGAGTCTCACAGTCTTTCCTGCCCGGGCTGGCTTTGAACGGAGATCTAGGATTACAGGCGTGAGCCACCGGAGCCCGGCTCTTATTGTTCTTTTCTTTAAAGACAATTTCTTGCTGTGTAGCCCAAGCTAGCTTGGAACTAGCAATCCTCTTGCCTCTGACTCTAAAGTCTAGGATTATTGGTCTGCATCACCAGCTTCCTTCAGCCTTTTTTTATTTTTTACAATAGTATAATTAAAATGAAAGTCAATTCCTACTACTGTTTAAAATATTCCAATAGCTTCCCATCCAACTAAGAGTAAAACCAATTCATTAGCATGGTTCCTGAGCTGGCTTCTCAATATTCTAGCCACAGTGACCTCTTCTGCTATTCCAGGAAAAGGACAGGGATTTTTCTGCATCTGGATGACACTCCTCCCTCAAATAGCCATGTGACTTTCTCTACTGACTTGGTCAAATGTCCCTTCAGAAGCCTCAGCAGACCACTCAATTTGACTTCAAATCATCCCACCACTTCCATATTCCATTATTTCCCTACTTATATAATTAAATGCACAAAAAAGAATTAAGGAAAAAGTCTGATGGAAAAGTAATTGTACTTTTAAAGTCAAAAGCAAAAATCCTGGGATGTAAAAGAGTTTAACTAAAGTCAGGCTCATCAATGGCTCATGCCTATAATCATAGCTATTTAGGAGTCTGAGGTCTGAGGTTCATGGTTCCAAGCCAGCCCAGGGAAGGAAAGACTGTGAGATTCTTACACCAAAATTAAACATCACAAAAGCCAGAAACAGAACTATGGCTCAAGTGGTAGAGTGATAGTCTTGAGCAAAAGAAGCTCAGGGACAGCATCCAAGCCCTGAGTTCAAGCGCCAGGACCAATACATACACACACAAAAAATTACTTGAGGGGCTGAGAGGGTGGTAGAGTGCTTGCCTTGCATGCATGTGGCTCTGGGTTTAATTCCTCAGTACCACGTAAACTAAAAATGCTGGAAGTGGCATTGTGGCTCAAGTGGTAGAGCTAGACTATTAGCCTTGAGCAAAAGCAGCTCAGGAGCAGTGCCCAGGCCCTGAGTTCAAGCCCCAGAACTGGCAAAAAAAAAAAAAAAAAAAGTTACTTGAGTAATCCTAGCTACTCAGGAGGCTGAGGTCTGAGGATGGTGGTTCAAAGCCAACCCGGGCAGGAAAGTCCATAAGACTCTTATCTCCAATACACCACCAGAAAACTAGAAGTGGCTCAAGTGATAGAGCACTTGCCTTGAACTGAAGAGCTGAAGCACAGCGCCCAGGCCCAGAGTCCAAGCACCATAACTGATCAATAAAAAAAAAAAGTGAGAAGGAGAAACAAAAAGCTAAACAAAAAGGACAACTTGATGTTTAGTTATCTTCATCCTATTTACTGAGGATATAAACAAATAATGTATTTTGCACAAGCTTCCTGGCAAAGCAAATAGAAATTTGGAATCAATTCTCATGGGAGCCCAGGAGTTGATAGGAAAGAGTAGAGAAATCAACTTGGCTGGGGAGGAGGTGTGGTAGGAGGCAGAATGTAAGTTTCAGGGAAATATACTTTGAGCTACGTCTTAAAAAAGAGTTATGAACCCAATTGTTGGTAATATTCAGAAATAGGAGAACATTTTTGAAAAAATGAAGAACAACTTTCTAGCTAAATTCTATTCGAGGAGGCTACCTCCAATGCTTACAAATACATATGCCAAACCAAATAATGAAAACAGTAGATGTCCACTCAGGAAAAATTAAGTTGCCAATTGTAGTTTGTAATTTAATGGCATAACGATACAAACTTGTTAAAAGTAAATTATAATTTACACATGACAAAATGTTAACATACAGAAATCTTTACCTTATCTCTGGCAGTGAGAAATCGTGGATCATCTTGAAAAGCTTCTTTGACAAGTTTACTAAATCTATTAAATAATGTAAGTAACTGCTCAACATATTTCTCAGAGTCCTGAAAAAAAATGTATTTTATATTCAATTTAGTTTTACAAAAAAAACAGTAATAAAAATAAAGAAAAAATATAATTTTAATGAACTACAATTTGAAAACTGGAGAAAATTTTCTTAAAAATAAAATCAAAAGGTGTTTCAACATTCTTATTTTGCTGACTAAATTACCATTTTAAATAAATAAACTTTCATTTGAAAAAAATAACCTAGAGCTGGGCACCAGTGGCTCACACCTGTAATTTTAGGAGGCTAAGATCTTAGGATCACAGTTCAAAACCAGCCTGGGAAGAAAAATCCCTGAGCCTCTTATTACCTCCAGGTAACCACTAAAAGGCTGGATGGAAGTAGAGCTGTAGCTCCAGTGGTAGAGTGCTAGCCTTGAGCAACAAGGCTCAGGGACAGAATTTAAAAAAAAAAAAAAAAGGACCAGGAAAAAAACTTACAGTAGTAATAGTTTCAGCAGCTGCTACCATATCTGCCAGGCCAGCACTAATGATATGTTCCTCCAAGTCTTTCAACATTGGCTCTATCCCATTCAGAACTTTGTCCATCAAGGAAAACATCAAATGTAACTCTGAAAGGACAGAACATACTCACATCATCACTTTACTCACTGCAATAAATTTTCTCTGATTTATACCACAAAATGTCTATGGCAGTAAGAATTTGAAGAAACATTAGATGGAGATTTGTAATATTAATATTATTCTAGGGGCTGGAAAGTTGGCTCAATGGTAGAGCGCTTGCCTTGCATGCACAAGGCCCTGGGTTTGATTCCTCAACACCACATAAGCAGAAACAGGCGGAAGTGGCATTATGGCTCAAGTGGTAGAGAGCTAGCCTTGAGCTGATGAGCTGAGGGACAGTGCCCAGGCCCAGAGTTCAGGCCCCATGACCAAAAAAAAAAAAAAAAAGAAAAAAGAAAGAAAGAAAGAAACTATTAAAAAAAAAAGAATTTTAAAAAATGATCAAATATCTTCACGTATTATATTTGTTAAAGAGAATAAAAAAGAAACTATTCACAGATGAGGTTTAATTTGAAAAAAAATACTTTTCTGTTGGTACAATTAGTTTAGAAGCTACTACAGTTAAGAAGTTCTTAACCTGCTCAGTTGGATTTTGTTGTTTTTTGGGACTTTTGGGGGGGGGGGATGTTAGTCATGGGGCTTGAACTCAGAGCCTAGGTGCTGTCCCTGAGCTTTTCTGCTCAAGGCTAGTGCTCTAAAACTTGGAGCCACACATCACTTCTGGTATTTTGGTGGCTAATTGGAGGTAAGAGCCTCACAGACTTTCTTGCCCTGGCTAGCTTTGAACTGTGATCCTCAGATCTCAGCCTCCTAAGTAGCTAGGATTACAGGCGTGAGCCACTGACACCGATGGAATGATTTTTTGTTTTTTGTTGTTTTTGCTGGTCACGGGTCTTAAACTCTGGGCCTGGGCACTATCCTCTGAGCCCTTCAGCTCAAGGCAAAGCACTCTACCACTTGAGCCACAGTACCATTTCCAGTTTTCTGGTGGTTAACTGAGATAAGAGTCTCACAAATGTTCCTGCTCAGGCTGGCTTTGAACCACAATCAACATATCTCAGCCTCCTGAGTAGCTAGGATTACAGAGTTGAGTCACCAGCACCTGGCAAAATCAGTATTTTTTAATATAAGAAGTATTACAGGGGCTGGGAATGTGTCTTAGTGGTAGAGTGCTTACCTAGCATGCATGACGCCCTGGGTTCGATTTCTCAGTACCACATAGACAGAAAAACCCAAAAGTGGTGCTGTGGCTCAATTAGCAGAGTGCTAGCCTTGAGCAAAAGCAGCTCAAGGACAATGCCCAGGCCTTGAGTTCAAGCCCCAAGACTGGCAAAAAAAAAGTACTGGGGAGTGGTAGTGCACACCTACAGTCACAACACTCAGGAGACTGAGACAGCACAATTTTGAGTTTCAGGCCAACACAGGCTAGCCTACACTATGTGGCCAGACCCTGTCTCAAACATAGAATACAAAAGTTTACCCACAAGGCTGGTATACTTCATAAAGTTGCAATATTCATGAAAAGGTTAAAAAAATATGAGCAATAATTATATGAGAAACTTTACTAAAGCTAACATAAAATTGCATCTATAAATGATTTTCCATTTCTAAAACACTTTCTCACATTATATTATTTAATTGACCATCACAAAACATTACCACACAGTATTAGTATCACTATATACTTTTGTAGGAAATCTTACATGGATCAGACTTAACTACTAAGGTTGGCATATAAAAATCCAAATATTTCAGTTACAGCAATAAGTAATTTGCTTTGAACTATATAACTGCTCCTAAAGAGACTATGAATTTACAAGCTAAAATGTATATTTTAATTGCAACCAGGTATTAAAACTAGACCCTGCAGTTAGACACAATAATCTGGAGAATACATCAAAATGTTAAAAATGATTTTCTCAGACTATTAGGGAAATTAATAAATTTTTCCTTTTTTTAATATAACTGCTACTTTCCAAAACATACCTTTATTAGGAAAACATTTAAATTCTGGGGGAGGAAAAGGGACAAAATATATTATCATGGAGTGTTTTATTATTTGCTAAAAAGAGTAGCCACAAGGTCCTATGCAAGTCAAATACCTTTACTCTAAACTATATGTTTACAACTTTCAATGGGAAGTTCTGCCTTTAAGAAAAAAAGCAGAAATTCTACACACATGCATGCACACACACACCCACACACTCACACAGGCACACGTGTGCGCGCGCGCACACACACACACACACACTCACTGATACTTAACAGAGGAAAATGTTTATGACTTAAATGTGGAAACTTTTTAGCAGTAGTTCTGGTGTTAAAATATTTCATCATTTTCTTTAATCACACATAACTCACTGTAGTAAATATACATAAATTTAAAAGAACAATCTGACAACATTTTATCAAGTGATCTGATTCAAAGATAATTTCCTAAAAGATTATAGTATCTTTTTATTTGTTTTCGGTCAGTCCAGAGGTTTGAACTCAGGGCCTACGTACTGTCTCTGAGCTTTTTATTGCTTAAGGCTACCACTCTACCACTAGAGTCACAGCCCCATAATCAACTTTTTGGAAGTTAATTGGAGATAACTACAGATAAGAGTATTATAGACTTTCCTGCCCAGTCTGGCTTTGAACAACAATTCTCAGATCTCAGACTCCAGAGTAGCTAGGATTACAGGCATGAATCACCCGCATCCAGCTTAGATTATGATATATAATGTTTTATGTTTTACATTATGTTTTACCTACTTTCAGTTTCATTTCGTTTGATCATGCCTTGGCATTCTGCTAAGATAGTCTCTTTAAATGATGTCACCAGGGCATTTACACAGCATTCCATGAGCTGAAATAGAGCAAATGTTAGTTGAGGCTAATACCAAACTTTATAGCACAAATCTATTACCATCACAAAAGGAAACCATACTATTCCACAGAAAAATGTGTTCAAAAGAAGATTTAGCTTACCTTGACTACAGAACTGCTGATAGTGAGTGCATAATCTACACTAGTTTACTAATGTATAGTTCTTCCTAAGGGAAAAGCTATAGAACGTAGGTTTACTGTAATAATTTTAACAAAAAACCCCAAAGGAGGACTGGGAAGGTGGCTTAGTGGTAGAGTGCTTGCCTAACATGCATGAAGCCTTGGGTTCGATTCCACAGTACCACATAAACAGAAAAAGCTGGAAGTAGAGCTGTGTCTCAAGTGGTAGAGTGCTAGCCTTGAGCAAAAGAAGCTCAGGGAGAGTTCCCAAGCCCTGAATTCAAGCCCCAGAATGGCCAAAAAAAAGCCCCAAAGGAAGGAGAAAAAATTATATATATAAAAGCAAAAAAGAGGGGCTGGGAAGGTGACTCAGTGGTAGAGCGCTTGCCTTGCATGCATGAGGCCCTGGGTTCGATTCCTCAGCACCACATAAGCAAAATGAAAAAAGCCGGAAGTGGCGCTGTGGCTCAAGTGGTAGAGCGCTAGCCTTGAGCTGAAGAGCTGAGGGACAGCGCCCAGGCCCAGAGCTCAGGCCCCACGACCGACCGGACCCAAAAAAAAAAAAAAAGGCAAAAAAGAACAAATAAACCTGTTAACCCTTATTTGGAGGGAATCTGTTTTAGAATTAGGATTATAATTCCTTTAAGAATGACCATTCATTAACAAGCCATTGCACACATGTCTGTGTACTGAAAAATTCTTGAGAAAACTTTTAACTAGGCAAAAAGGAAAACAGGGAGATTGGTAGAGGTCTATCTTCATCACAAATTGGTCCATCCTACCAAGAAGGTCAGTTCCCAAGTACAGATCACTTCAATCCTCTTTTGTATTTCTTCCCTGCTTAAATACATACCTACTAAGTAAAAAGCATACCTTGATTCTTATTTCTTCCTTAAGCACACCCAAATGAACTCCTCGTTTTGTAAAAGAAAATGTCTAGCATAGTTATTATCTTTGATTATGAAAATGATGAAAAATTAAATATTCATTAAGTATAACAGAATTTAGAGCAGAGATGGAAAACATTTTATTTTACATACCAGTTCTGAAGGACAATATATTCTGAGTTAGGTACCTTTAGAACTGTGTTTCTGCTCATAGAGGAAGGTCTATAATTAGGAAAGTGGGTCAGACATGAGAAAGATGATAGTGTCATAAGTGTCATGTATTTGCCATCCCTGTGCTGTATTACTTGAAAAATTCTCATAAAAAGGAATACAATTAAAAGATGACTTACTGCTTCAACAGAGTTACATTCTCGTCTTGTTTCTAAATAGCGCAATGCTCGTTTTTCTTCTTCTTTTAATTTAGCATCTGCCTGCCCGGAAACAAGGTAGCAATCATTTTAAAAGTATCAAGAAAAGAGCTCAAATTGTCAAATGTATTGCGTTCTGACTTACATATTTCATATAATTCTGTACACCATTTTGTTGTAAATATGAGGGTGCTTGTGTTCTATAAAATCTCTCTGTTGAGTCCAAATATGCCTTCTCAAAATTATCCCTATAAATCTGAAGTTTATCCTCAGGATTAGAACAAAGGTTAACTGAAAAATAGAAAGAAAAAAAAAACTTTTCATTATGATCTCAATCAGTATTTTGAGTACAACAAATGAGCAAATTTAAGGAGCCAATATGAGTAAGATGACTATGCTCACAAAAACACATAAACATGTAAAACAAAATCATCTTGAAAAAAATATCACCAAAAGAATAAAGTAACAATACTATATATAGTATAATATATATTATGTATATAATATATTATACATATATTATATATTATACATATATGTGTATAATATATTATGTATATATTATGTACATAATATATATATTACACTATAGTATAATATATACTATTTATACAATACATGTTATATATAATAATACTACATAGTATTATAATAGACCAATATTTTAGCTTTGGATAGGAAAGACACTGGCTACTAAGAAACTATTCACAGGGCTGGGAAGGTGGCTCAGTGGTAGAGTGCTTGCCTTGCATGCATGTGGCCCTGGGTTTGATTCTTCAGCACCACATAAATAGAAAAAGCCAGAAGTGGTGCTGTGGCTCAAGTGGTAAAGCGCTAGCCTTGAGATGAAGGACTGGGGGACAGCGCCCAGGCCCAAAGTTCAAACCCCATGACCAAAAAGAAAGGAAATTATTCACAAAAAAGAATTTTTAAAAATGATCAAATATCTTCATGTGTTATATTTGTTAAAGAGAATAAAAAAGAAACTATTCACAGATGAGGTTTAAACTGAATCTTACAGTATTTTGCAAAGACACAATCAGGTAAGTACATATTCAGAAGCAGAACACGAACTACAATAAGTAGGTTGTCTAAGGTGATTATAAAGCTAATAGAAGATAAAGTAGCATGCTAAATTAGGAATGGCTGTGGAGACGCTCAAATATCAAACTAAGTAGCCAGAATTTAGGAAGACCTAGCATGAAAGGGTTAAGCAGAAAGAATACCAAGCTGAGCACAGTAGTTCAAGTCTGTAATACTAGTTACTTAAGCTAAAGCTGGCTCAGGCATAGAACAAAACCCTACCTCAAAAAGCCAGAGAAAAAAAAGGGCTAATGGAGTAGCTCAATGGATAAGATGGCCTTCCTAGCAAGCATGAGGACCTGAATTCAAACCCAGTACCATCAAGAAACAAAAACAAAAGAAAGGGGCTGGGAAGGTGGCTCAGTGGTAGAGTGCTCGCCTTGCATGCATGAGGCCCTGGGTTCCATTCTTCAGCATCACATAAGCAGAAAAAGCCGGAAGTGGGTGCTGTGGTTCAAGTGGTAGAGAGCTAGCCTTGAGCTGAAGAGCTGAGGGATAGCGCCTAGGCCCAGAGTTCAGGCCACACGACCGGCCAAAAAAAAAGAACACAAACAAAAACAAAAGAAAAACAAACAGAAAACAATCAAGGACTGGGGATGCAGCTCAACTGGTAGTGCACTTCCCTAGCAAGCATGTGGTGCTGGGTTCAATTCCTACTACTACAAAGTAAGATACAATAAAACAGTACTATCAGTCTGTGAACAGTAAATGCATTAAATGATCCCCAAAGAATTCCTGTACGAACAGTTTTACATGTTTAGACATAGACTTTATAGACATCTAAACTGTAGCAGATGAAATAAGGATAATATGAGTAAGTTTTAGGAGCAGTAGTAATGAAAACTTAAAAGGCTTAATCACTAATTCGATAAACACATATTGCATATTGAGAATAATTTTGTACCAGGCATTCTGGTTCAGTAAAGAGCCAGTATAAGCAAGGTCCTATCACGAAAGGACTGTGTCAGGGAAACATAGGTCCTAGAAAACTCTAAGTGATGGGCTCTAACCTAGTTGGTAAATTAGAAAGGACCTCCATGAGGAAAAAGGAGTAGGGCAAATTAGAAACCAAAGAGCAAGGAGAACATTCTAAGTCAAAGCACACTATGTGACTGAAAGAACAAATGAAAACATCAGCTGGGAATGTGGCTTAGTGGTAGAGTGCTTGCCTAGCATGAATGAAGCCCTAAGTTCAATTCCTCAGTATCACATACACAGAAAAAGCCAGAAGTGGTGCTGTGGCTCAAGCAATGGAAGCTCAGAGACAGTGCCCAGGCCCTGAGTTCAAGCCCCAGGTCTGGAAAAAAAAAAAAAAGAAAAGAAAACATAATGGTCAGAAAGAAAAAGCATATACATGTGAGGAACTTTACAAAAACATAAAGACAAAACCAGTTACCTTTTATGAGCTAAGGACTGATTTGTATTTTTTAAGTTTAGCTTACTGAAATTAATTTTTTAGCAGAAATAATACAAACCACATGAATATCAACTTTTATAGTTTTTTTTTTCTTGAAGGGGGGGTCCGGTCGTGGGGCCTGAACTCTGGGCCTGGGCGCTGTCCCTCAGCTCTTCAGCACAAGGCTAGCGCTCTACCACTTGAGCCACAGCACCACTTCCGGCTTTTTTCTTTTTGCTTATGGGGTGCTGAGGAATCGAACCCAGGGCCTCATGCATGCAAGGCAAGCGCTCTACTACTGAGCCACCTTCCCAGCCCCTTTTATAGGTTTCTTTAAGCAAAATTATCATCTGTATATTCTTACAATAAAAAAGCATTTGGGAAAAAAAAAAGCATTTGGCACAAGAAATGTGATGTGACTTTATATACTAATACATGTAACTGGCTACTCAGGAGGCTGAGATCCAGAGGATTACAACTTAAAGCCAGGCCAAGCAGAAAAGTCAGTGAGGCTCCATCACCAAAATAACTAGTAAATGGCTGGGCTGGAGGTGTGGATCAAGCTGTAGAGTGCCAGCTGATCAATCAAGCCAAGCAACTACAAGGCCCTGAGTTCAAACCCCAGTAGGGGGGTAGGTGTAAGAACATACCATAAGATTCTCTTACTCCAATAACCAGCTGAGAATCGAAAGCTTCTCCTAATCGTTCAGCATGAACCAGCTTCATTGCACTATCTTGAAGTCTATTTTTTATATTTGAAAAAATGGATTCATTCCATGTGTCAAGCATAAGCTAGGAAGATAAGAAAATAGGGTATTATTTCAATTATCAGTATACAAATTATCAAATATGCACACACAAATTCTAGTACCAAAAAAACCAACACCACCAAACTCATGCTGCAATTTTCATCTGACTACTTTAGCAAAATAGTGTAATATGTGGGTAAAAAACAAGAATTTCAGAATCAGATACAAGTCTGAGTTTGAGGTAAGCCTGAATCTCAGTTCTGTTACTTACTCACCTGCCTTCTTATGTGTAAAATAGAGTAAGATACAAAGTTCTAGTATTGTAAAAATTAAATACAGCCAGGTACCAGTAGCTCACACCTGTAATCCTAGCTACTCAGGAGGCTGAGATCTGAGGATTGCCAGCTTGGGCAGAAAAGACCCCATGAGACTCCAATAACACTCAGAAAAAGAATTGGCGCTGTGGCTTGCCCAAGTTGTAGAGTGCTCACCTTGAGCACAAAAAGGCTCAGGGACAGTGCTCAGGCCTTGAGTTCAAGCCCCAGGACCAGAAAAAAAAATTAAATACAATCATGTAAGGAAAGTGTTACTTCTTTTTGGTTCGAAGTCAAATTTCAGAAATATTGATATGTTTAGAATACCCTCACATTCTTATCAGTACTGACATGTTAAAAATGCAGAAACTTTGTAGGGAACACTGGACATGAACATGAGGATTGTCTAGGGGAAGGAATTAGCAGAGGGGTAAGGAAAGTAAGATCGCAGTAAGTTATAAATACACATCAAGATAGCAGAATGCAGACCAGTAATTGCTATTTGAAAAGGGAAATGAGAGAGGGAAGGAACACAATGAGGGGAGGGGACTTGGTCAAACTACAGCATATATATCTGCAAAAATACCATATGAAACCTCCTTGTACAATTAGTGTATGATGATAAATGCAAATCTCCCTTATAGATGTCCATCAAAATGAGAGAAATTATACACACACACACACACACACACACCGGTGAGGACATGTCAGTGCTCCTAACTTTGTCTCACACATCAGATACAATAACAACAGCAGCAATAACAGCAAGGGTCAAGTTACTACTGATCACTATATACCTAAGTCTACTGCATTTTTCCCAGTAATTCAATCTTCAGAGTTTGGATACAGGTAACTTTATTTTTTTTAATGTTTTAATTGATATTATAAAGGTGATATACAGAAGGGTTATAGTTAAGTCTGGTAAAGAGAACATTTCTTGCTGGGTGCTGGTGGCTCACACCTGTAATCCTCACTACTCAGGAGACTGAGATCTGAGGATTGCAGTTCAAAGCCAGCCTGGGCAGGAAAACCAATGAAATTCTTTTTTTGTTTTGGTCAGTTTTGGAGCTTGATTCTGGGCCTGGGCGCTGTCCCTCAGCTCTTCAGCTCAAGGCTAGCGCTCTACCCCTTGAGCCAAAGTGCCACTTCCAGCTTTTTCTGCTTATGTGGTGCTGAGGAATCGAACCCCGGGCCTCATGAATCAAGGCAAGCACTCTACCACTGGGCCACCTTCCCAGCCCCCAATGAAATTCTTATCTCCAATAAATTATCAAAAAGCTGGAAGTAGAACTGTGACTCAAGTGGTAGAGTGCTAGCCCTGAGCAAAAGAAATTCAAGAGACAGTGCCCAAGCCCCGAGTTCAAACCACAGGACCTTGCAAAAAAGAAAAAGACTGGGATGCGTCAACAATGCTCAGATCACACTATTGTAATGCTTAAATTTGTTACTACAACCACCACAGCAAACTGCAAGTTATTTAAAATTCAAATGGCCATTCTTTATATTATCAATCTCTAGTAATAACTGAGTATGTAAGCAATAGAGTATGCACTCAGTATGTGTGAGGACCTGGGTTCAATCTCCAGCACCACCTATACATAGAAATCGGATTATATTCAAAAGGTTGAAGAATAATTCAGAGTGGAAAAGGAAATCTGGGACCCCTTCACATTCAGGGCTGAATTCCTTCTATTGAATCATGACCAGTTTTTGGCATGAACTTTTAATTAGAAACTATGAAAATGAACAAAATGCATACTGAGTTTATAATAACTAGAAACAAAGCTGGGCGCCAGTGGCTCACGCCTGTAATCCTAGCTACTCAGGAGGCTGAGATCTGAGGATCACGGTTCAAAGCCAGCCCATGTTGAAAAGTCCGTGAGACTCTTATCTCCAATAAACCACTAGAAAACTGGAAATGGTGCTGTGGCTCAAGCAGTAGAGCGCTTGCCTTGGGTGAAGAGCACAGAGACAGCACCCAAGCCCAGACCAACCAAAAAAAAAAAAACTAGAAACAAAAGATTAAGAAGTTGACAGCACTGTAGCCATAATTAAACACAAAGTTTTATGAAGACAACATAGTAAAAGAATTTTTGATAGAAAAAAGTCATTTAATCTACAGGAAGATAAATATACAAAGAGGGAATAGGGAATGAAGCAAAATACTGAAAACAAAACAGGTAAAGTCAAAAGGAAAAAGAAAAACTGAAGGAGGTAAATCTGAAGCTGAAGATCCCCAGAAGAATGACAAATATGTTCAATAACACCCAGGAAGAAGTGAAAAGAAAAACCTTTGAAATGCCTTCAAATAATTTCTTCTAAGGATTATTAGAAAAACTATGGGAGAAAATTGACTTACCTTTCGAACAATGCTATCTTCCATATTCGATTTTTTGTTGCTGTTCTGTTTGCCTAGCAAAGTAATCTCTAGTTGACAAAAAGGTTTTGGTAAAATATCACATTGTGTAAAGAATTTCCGCCACTCAACAATATAAGCCTTTAGCAAAGCTGTGTCATCTTGATGGCTCAGTACTCGCTGAAAAAAGAAAAGTATCAAAGTAAAATATATGTAGGAGCTTTTAAAAATAAAACATTGTGTACCACAATTTTAGTTTTACTTACCACATTTACCACAACCACATTTTATCCAGGAGAAATTAAAATATGTATTCCTGGAAATCTTGTATACAAATGCTGGTAGCAGTATTAGTCAAAACAGATTAAAAAGTGGAAACTATCTAAATTGTCCACCAACTGATGAACGGATAAACAATGGAATAGTATTTACCCAGAAAAATACTGATGACAGACAAATCTTGAATGTAGTATCCCAAGTGGGGGAAAAAAAGTCACAAAAGACCACATAATTTATGATCCCACTCTGTAGGAAATGTCAAGAATACATAAAATCACAGGAAAATCACAGGTAGAAAACAGATTAGTGGTTTGATGGTAGCCAGGAACTAGAAGGAAGGCTGACAGTGACTGTTAATAGATGTTTCTTTTTAGGGTGAGGAAGAGATTCTAGAATACCTAGCTGATGGTCACAATACACTAAAAATTAGGGTCTCACACATGGTAGGCAATATCTCAAAAATAAAATTTTTTTAAAGACAGCTGAATTTATTTGCCCACTGGTGATATTTAGGCTGCACCTGTGACCATCTCTGACCAAGCCTAGCCTGACCTGAAAGAGCTCTCACCCATTGCAATGTCATCTGAAAAGGTACTTTCCTTGCGAGTGAGAAATCAAAGAAATGCATGACCAGCTCTCCTTGAACACCAAGCCCCTACAAAGTACCGTCAACTATGGCAGCATTAGTAAGTTCAGTGAAGTCAGTTGAGCCCCAAATATGAAATCACAAAATTATGAACACACAAAATAGTTGTGTTGGATTGGCAGTAGAGCTCAATGGTAGTATGCCTTGCTAGCATGGATGAGGGTCCTGGGTCCCATCAACAGGACCAAAAAATAAAAAAAGATATGTTACTCTAAAACTAATCCATTTTTCTGATGATTTTCTAGGAAATGTATAGCTCGTTTTGTTTTCTTTGGGAAAAGGGGAAGTTGACATGAGGTCTTGCTATGTTACCCATATTAGTCTCAAACTCCTAGTCTCTAGAGCTCCCCCCTCAACTTCCCAAGCAGTAAAATTAGTATGTTTAACTTCTTCTTTTTGTCATTCACTTACTTCTTTCTTTTCTGAACTGGAGATTCTAATCATGCACCATACCATTGAGCTAAGGCCAGTCACTCGTCTCATTTTCAATAATGCTACAATAATCATTTCAGTGCACGCTGACTTTCCCATTTGGAAGGCTGGTACTTCCATACACATTCAACTGAACATTCTCTAGTAAGATGACTTACAAAGCATCATTTTCTTAAGAGTTCAAAATCTTTTTTGTGACAAAATCAGGGCTCAAATTCAGGGCCTTACACTTCTGCTAGGCTTTGCACTCACTGCGAAGCCATACTGGAGGGTCTCTAATAAGGCATTTTTGATGGTTAACTGGAGATAAGGGTCTCACTGACTTTCCTATAGGAGTTGGCTCTGAACACCCTGATCCTCAGATCTCAGCTCCTAGAAGGTGTGAGGCACCAGTGCCTGGCAAGAGGTTAACACTCTTTTAAAAATGACACAGCCACAGAAGCCGGGCGCTGGTGGCTCACGCCTGTAATCCTAGCTACTCAGGAGGCTGAGATCTGAGGATCGCGGTTCAAAGCCAGCCCGGGCAAGAAAGACCGTGAGACTCCTATCTCCAATAAACCACCAGAAAACCGGAAGTGGCACTGTAGCTCAAGTGGTAGAGCGCTCGCCTTGAGCTGAAGAGCTGAGGGACAGCGCCCAGGCCAAGTTCAAGCCCCACGACCGACAAAAAAAAAAAAAAAAAGACACACCCATACCTGGCACTGCTATCCCTGCAGGGCCCATCCTGGGTCTTGAACTCAAGGCCTGAGTGATGTTCCTGGGCTTCTTTTGCTCAAGGCTATTGTTCTGCCACTTAGGCCACAGTTCTACTTCTAGCTCTTTTTTTGTGGTTAAAGGTAAGAATCTCTTGGGACTTTCCTCCCTGGGTTGGCTTTGAACCTAGATTCTCAAATCTCAGCCTTCCGAGTGTCTAGAATTAAGGGTATGAGCCATTGGCACCCAGCTGCGATTCTTACAGTTTAAGTGCTGAATTGGGGGCACTAAATCCGTCCTCTGATTCTTTATTTTTTTGTCGGTCATGGGGCTTGAACTCTGGGCCTGGGTGCTGTCCCTGAGCTCTTCAGCTCCAGGCGAGCGCTCTACCACTTTAAGCCACAGTGTCACTTCATCCTCTGATTCTTATTGATGTCTATATTACTGATGTCTATTACTGAGCCATGTTACAGTGAAAGGCTCACAAATTTTGTTTGCTAGTGTTGGATATATTTTTAACATGTTAACAATACAATTATTTCTAGAAAAACAAAATGCTATCCATTTGAAAGAAAGCTCATGTTTCCAATTCAAGTGGAAAAATGTATTTCCAAATGAGTTCTAGAACAATTGGTCTTTTGTGTTTGTTTTTTGTTGGTCATGGGGCTTGAACTCAGGGCCTGGGAACTGTCCCTGAGCTTCTTTTGTTCAAGGTTAGTCTACCACTTGAGCCACAGCATCACTTCCGGCTTTTTCTGTTTATGTGATACTGAGGAATTGAACCCAGTGCATACTAGGCAAGCACTCTACCACTAAGCCAAATTCCCAGGCAGTAAACTTATCTTTTTTTAAGTGGTACTAGTCTCAAACTGGCTACACAAGTGATCTACCTACCAGCTGAGCAACACCCCCAGTACTTTTTGCTTTGTTTTTAAATAAAGCCTCATTTTGTGCCAGGTCAGCCTGGATCACAATCCTATTTATGCTTCCTACCACAGCTAGGATGACAAATGTTGAAATTAGGGTCTGGGCTAGCCTCAAACTACTATTCTTGGATCTCTGCCTAAGTAGCATTAATTATAGGTGTAAACCATATAATTATGTATGAACATAAATACTGCGCTAACAATATTTATATTTTTTCCTTGTACTGGGGTTTGAACTCAGGGCCTTGTGCTCTCCTTTGGCTTTTTCACTCAAATCTGGTCCTCTGGGGCTAGGAATGTAGCTTAGTGGCAGAATGCTTGCCTACCATGCTTGAAGCCCTGAGGTTTGATTCCTCAGTACCACATAAATAGAAAAAGCTGGAAGTGGTGCTGTAGCTAAAGTGGTACAGTGTTAACCTTGAGCAAAAGAAGCTCAGGGACCGTGCCTAGGTCCTGAGTTTAAGCCCCAAGACTGGAGAGAAAAAAAAAAGTGGTCCTCTATCAATTGAACCACATCTCAAATCCAGCTTTTTTGCTGGCTAATCGGAGATTAAAGTCTCCAGGACTTTTCTGCAGACTTGCTTCAAACCATGATCCTCAGATCTCAGCCTCCTAAGTAACTAGAATTACAATAATGAACTACCAGTTACCAGCAATATTTAACGTTTTTAGGTTTTAGGGTTTTTTTTTTTTGTTGGTAATGGGGCTTAAACTTAGTGCTCTACCACTTTGAGCCACAGCACTACTTCCTATTTTTAACATCTTTAACAAACAGCTTTTACTAATGTATATGACATGGACCTAAAAATTTAACTGAAAAGGAAATTCTAGCCCTCTACTTTCACACTTCACATTATTACAAAGGAAAATAATCTCATGCTCTTAGGTTCCTTCATAAAGTGGTAAGGAACTCATTTTCATGGGCAATACCATGTATTACTGTTTCAAAATAATGTATTATTTTTGCATTATTTCTTTCCAAAAGACAGACTATTAAAAAAGTAACAATAAAAAAACAAACTATTGCCACGAGCTGGTGGCTCACACCTGTAATCCTAGCTACTCACAAGGCTGAGATCTGAAAATCATGGTTCAAAGCCAACCTGGGCAGAAAAGTCCATTAGACCCTTATCTCTAATTAACCATTAGAAAACTGGAAATGTCACTATGGGTCAAAGTGATAGAATAATAGTCTTAAATAAAAAAGCTTAGGGACAAAGCCCAAACCCTGAGTTTAAGCTCCACAAATGTGAAAAAAAACAAAAAGCAAATGTCTATGTGACCAAATGTCTAAATGAGGTTTGTATTCAAGTTTAGTAAACTTAAGGATTTATATACAGTATCAACACAAGAGTACTAACTTCAGCTTGGCTAGCCAAGATTTTACAATCAGAGAAGTATCTGAAATTGAAAAAATTACCATCAACTTGAGGAAAGCTATTAGTTATGAGAGGAAAAAAACAGATGTGTGTTATAACCTGCTAAAAGATGAGCATTTTGGGGGCTGGGAAGGTGGCTCAGTGGTAGAGCACTGCCTTGCCTGCCTGAGACCCTGAGTTATATTCCTCAACACCACATAAGCAAAAAGAAAAAAGCCGGAAGTGGCGCTGTGGCTCAAGTGGTAGAGCGCTAGCCTTGAGCTAAAGAGCTGAGGGACAGCGACCAGGCCCAGAGTTCAGGCCTCACGAATGGACCAAAAAAAAAAAGATGAGCATTTTTAACTGAGGATGACCATGTATTCTGTTGACAAAAATTCCACATCTAATAATTTTAAAATCTAACAAATGTGTCAAAAGTCAATGTGATACTTAAAAGTACTTCAGGAAGTTCTATCCTCAGACTCATAAAATATGTTATTGTCTAAGCAGTTTTAAAACCAATCTAAAGCTAAGAGTGAAGCTCCTAATAAGTATGTATACGAGGTCCTGGATTCATTATCTAGCTCCAAAAAAGGAAGAAGAAAAAAAGAGAAAGAAACAGCAGCAATCCAAAATAAAATACAATATGCTGACTTACTGCCTGTGCTTGCTTAATAAACTCAAGGATATCTTCTTTTAAAGCCTGATGAATTTTTCCTGGGCCTTTATCATCCCAGAGACAGACAGCATGAACATCCCTGTAAAAAATAAAGCATGTAAAAATCATCAGTAATTGAATAAAACTCATCTTAAATTCTGTTAGTATAGTCTCCATGAACTAAGTTAAAAGTATCTGAATCCATTAATAAGAATGAAGCACTCAGTTGAGCTTAATGGCTCACCCCTATAATCCCAGTTACTCAGAAGGCAATCAGAAGAACTTTGATTGACAAAAGTTATCAAAACTGCCAAGACTGGAGGCACACGCCTATAATCCTAGCTACTCATGAAGCTGAGATCTGAGGATCATAGTTCAAAGCTAGCCAGGGCAGGAAAGCCCAAGAAATTCTTTTTCTGTTTATGTGGGGCTAGGGAATCGAACCCAGGGCCTCATGCATGTGAGGCAAGCACTCTACTATTGAGCCACCTTCCCAGCCCCACCATGAAACTCTTATCTCCAATAAACCACCAGAAAACTGGAAGTGGCACTGTGGCCCAAGTGGTAGAGTGTTTGCATTGAGCTGAAGAGCTGAGGGACAGCGCCAGACCCAGAGTTCAAGCCTCATGTCCAGGGAAAAAAAAAGTTATCAAGACTACCACCTCAACAAACAAGCTGGTCAGAGTGGTATATGCCTATAATCCCAGCTAAATAGGAAGCATAGGAAAGAGACTGTGACCCAAGTTTGGCCTACCTAGGGCAATAAATGCAAGACCTTCGCCCAAAAATAATGCAAAAAAGACTAGAGCCTGGCTCATGTGGTAAAGCACCTACTTACCTTCAAGCACCAGACCAGGAGTTCAAACTCCAGTACTGCTCAAAAAATAGAAATCAAGCACTTTTGTGAGTTATCTCACAGATACAACTTTCTATTTTCGTTTTTATTATTTTTCTCCTTAATTCTTTGCTATATATTATATAAAATTTCTTCATAAAAGCATGTCACCACCAGGCATTGGTGGCTCACACCTGTAATCCTAGCTACTCAGGAGGCTGAGACCTGAGGATCACAGTTCAAAGCCAGCCAGGGCAGGAAAGGCCATGAGACTCTTATCTCCAATGAACCACTAGAAAACTGGAAGTGGCACTGTGGCTCAGGTGGTAGAGCGCTTACCTTGAAATGAAGAGCTGAGGGACAGCGTCCAGGCCCAGAATTAAAGGCCCAGGACCAACCCCCCCCCCCAAAAAAAGGCATGGCATATCACCAAGCACTGGTAGCTCACATCTAATAATCCAAGCAACTCAGGAGACTAAGATCTGAGGATGGAAGTGTGAAATCAGCCTAGGCAGGAGGGTCCATGAGACTCTTATCTCCAATTATCCAGCAAAATGCCAGAAGTAGAGCTGTGGCTCAAGTGGTAAAGTGCCAGCCTTGAGCAAAAATGCCAAGAAACTTGTGACTATTTCCCCCGCCCCAAACACCCGAAGTTCACCCTGTACCTTTTCTCTTGGTTGGTTTTGTATCCTTTCATCATAATAAGTTACTGTGACTAGATATTCAGCGTTTACGAGTCACCTAGAAAATCCACTGATCCGGGGCTGGGAAGGTGGCTCAGGGGTAGAGTGCTTGCCTTGCATGCATGAGGCCCTGGGTTCCATTCCTCAGCACCACATAAGCAGAAAAAGCCAAAAGTGGCGCTGTGGCTCAAGTGGTAGAGCGTTAGCTTTGAGCTGAAAGAGCTGAGGAACATTGCCCAGGCCCAGAGTTCAGGCCCCATGACTGGCAAAAAAAAAAAAAAAAAAGAAAATCCACTGATCCTATGAGGTCTTGAGGGCTCCCAATACAAATAGCAACAATTTTAAACAGGTAAACACACCATCCAGTTACACAGTCTATTTGGGAACCAAAAGACACCGAAAAGAAAAAATGCTTTATGTTAGTAAATGAAATTAATGGATTACTCACGAAAATAGATCAAACCACTGCTGTTTTGTAACAGATTCCTGGCGTAAAAGCTTCAAAACAATAGGACGCATGAAATCCCATTTGTCTTCAAACTGAAGAGAACCTTTATTCTTAAAGAGAAAAGATAAAATAGTTTAATTTAAATGCAGTTAAATTGACAGTGTCATTTTTTTTCTTAAGAGATATCCAGCATAACAAAGAACTCCAACTGGAAAAAAGTTTTCCATGTGGAATGCCTATAGGCTTTATATCTTCCATCAAGGAATCAGAGGAAGCATAAAAGAGAAAGTGTATTAGGAAAAAAAGTGGGGCTGTCTACCACTAGTGCAGGCTCCAAGTGAAGCATTTGCCTACTATTCATGGGGGCCCAGAGAGGAAGAGGTAGAAGTGGAAGTGGAAGAGGGTGGGAGGAGAAAGGGAGCAGGAGAAATTAAATATACACAAGTATGTAATGAAGAATTTTTCCTTGTCCCAGAGGTCTGGCCTTTCCTCTTGGCATCTGGAAGATTACATAATCCCTAAGTCTTGGATCACACTAGATCACACTAAATAGACTAGTGATGTGACTTAGAAAGAAAGGTGAGGAGCTCTATCTATATGGTCTTAAAGAGGGAATAAGCCAATTCAGAAAGATCAAAAATGTGATTCAGGTTGGGGAAGGGGGGGTGTCTTTGAGTCATAAATATCAATCAACCTGGATACTGAAATTACCTGTGTGCACAATCAAACATGCCTCTGTGACGTTCCTAAGACTCCACAGAAGAGCTCGGAATGTTGACTTAGAGGTAGAGTGCTTGCCTAGCATGCTGGAAGCCCTAGGTTTTATTCCTCAGTACCACATAAACAGAAAAAGCTGGAAGTGGTGCTGTGGCTCAAGTGGTAGAGCAAAAGAAGCTCAGGGATCATGCCCAGGCCCTGAGTTCAAGCCCCAGGACTGCCCCCCACAAAAAAATAAAAAATCCAAAAAATCGAAGCAACAACAACAAAAAAACCTCAACAGTGAAAGCTGGCTAAAGCCAAGCACAGTGCCACACATTGATACCAGAATTACACGGGCTAATTACACGGGCAGGAGACAACAGAAGCTGCAGTGTTTGGAACCCCTCTAGACTGCCCTATGCATCTCTTCTTGTGGTTGATTTTTTAATCCTTTCTATACAAGAAACAGTAACAATCATTTTAACTGCTTTCAGTAAATTCTATGAGCCTTTCTGGTTGGTACTAGGAGTGAAGGACAGTCTTATGGGGAGTTAGACTCTTATTTTGTAGTCTTAAACTGGTCACAAAAAAGTAGTCATCCCTTAGTATCCACAAGATATCCACATATTGCAAAATGTTAATGCTTATATAATCCCCTTATAGAAAATGGCATAGTATTTTCCTATCACCTACATATCTCTAGATTAAATACTATAAATGCTACATAAACAGTTATAATGTACTATTTAGGAAATAACAAAAAGTCCATATAATTTATTTTTTCAAATAAGAAAAGTTAGGGTGAAAAGGAAGTTGGAGGAAGGGCAAGAAGTAACAGTATCCACAGAATTTTTTTTAAAAAGACATTTTTAGTCTCTATATTTTCTCTTGCCCAAAACATTCTGAACACAATTTTTTAAATTTTCCTTCTATGAAGTTATTAATCATAGATTACCTTTTATTATTCTCCTACAATAAGCTTCACAAAGGAAATCTATTTACATACTTTAGATGTTTTGTGTAAATTGCAAGGGTCAGCTATTTTTTTTTTTTTTTGGTAGGTAGTGGGGCTTGAACTCTGGGCTTGGGCGCTGTCCCTCAGCTCTTCAGCTCAATGCGAGCGCTCTACCCCTTGAGCCACAGCGCCACTTCTGGTTTTCTAATGATTTATTGGAGATAGGAGTCTCACGGTCTCTCCTGCCCAGGCTGGCTCTGAACCTCGATCCTCAGATCTCAGCCTCCTGAGTAGCTAGGATTACAGGCGTGAGCCACCAGCGCCCGGCTAAGGGTCAGCTATTTGAATGTGTGGGTTCCCATATTGTTTATGAGCCCCTAGTGTCTAAGTTATGTGATTTTTAAAACCACATCTGCCAATAGTCATTGACCAAAAGAACCACAAAACTACAGTAAATATTTGAATACTGGCAATTCTATGTTCTGGCCATGCTAGACTTCTTTCATTCCCATGCCACACAAGGCTTTTAAAGGTGTTCCTTACATTTGCAGGGAAATGGATGGAGCTAGAAGGAATCATGTTGAGCGAGGTAAGCCAAGAGCAAAGAGACAACGGTACATGGTCTCCCTGATAAGTGGATTCTAAATCCAAAATGTTAGGTGATACGACAAAACCAACAGGACTTAAGAAACAAAGAACTCCCACTCATCTGGTCGAACCACTACTAAATATCCCCATGCTGCTGATTACATGTATGGTGTATAACATGTGAACACCATTATATGTTATAGACTGTGATAGACAATTTGCTCCAGGAAAGTTAGAATGAACTTGTGACTTTAAATGAGCATCATTATTCCATAATACTGTGAAATTCGGGAAATTATGTAATCACTTAATGACAATCAAAAAAAAAAAAAAGAACCTCGGGGAAGGTAGGGAGGGAAGGGATGGTAGGAGGAAAACAATGGAGGGGGTAACAATGCTCAATAGGAAGTGTACTCATTACCTCACTCATGTAACTGTAACCCTCTGTATAGTATCTTTACAATAAAAATAAATAAATAAATATAACTCTTACCTTATCAGAAAAAAAATAAAATAAAGGTGTTCCTTAAATATGCCAACCTCATTGGGGGGGAGGGGGGAGGCTGGGAAGGGATGTGAAGGGTAAACAAAAGGAGGAGGCTGCAATGCTTGGTAAGAAATGTACGCATTATCCTGCCCATGTAATTGTAACCCCTCTGTACAGTATCTTCACAAATAAAATTTAAAAAAAATAAATATGCCAACCTCATCAGTGCATTCAAAGACCTTTGACTCAGAATGCCACCTCAGAAAAGCCTTTTCAAACTTAAGAAAAACACCCTTGATCCTATACATGCAGGGCCAAGGTCTAAAGTGGCAAAAGAAAAGCTTTGAGCGGTTATGGGTTTGAATTTTTATTTTTTTCTTTTTGGTGGTACTGGGGTTTGAATTCAGGCTCCTGGCAGGCAAGTGCTCCATCACTTCAGTGATGCCTCCAATCTTTTTTTTTTTTTTTTTTGCCAGTTGTGGGGCTTGAACTCTGGGCCTGGATGCTGTCTTTCAGTTGTCAGCTCAAGGCTAGCACTCTTAACACTTGAGCCACAGCACCACTTCGGTCTTCTAGTGGTTTACTGGAGATACAGAGTCTCATGAACTTTCCTGTCTGGGCTGGCTTTGAACAGAAATCCTCAGATCATGGGGCTGGGAGGGTGGCTCAGTGGTAGAGCGCTTGCCCTGCATGCTCGAGGCCTTGGGTTCGATTCCTCAGCACCACATAAGAAAAAAGCCAGAAGTGGCGCTGTGGCTCAAGTGGTAGAGCGCTAGCCTTGAGCTGAAGAGCTGAGGGATAACGCCCAGGCCCAGAGTTCAGGCCCCAAGACTGGATCCAAAAAAAAAAGAAATCCTCAGATCTCAGCCTCCTGAGTAGCTAGGATTACAAGTGTGAGCCACCAACCCATTTTGCTTTAATTTTTATTTTTCTGATAGGGTCTGATGCTTTTTGCCTGGAGCTGGATTCGGTAGGAATTAACTGGAATTACAAATGTGTACCACTATACTCAGTTTATCTTTTGAGACAAGGTCTTTTTATCTTTTGCCCAGACTAGTCTCCAATTGTTATCCTTCCATCCTCCCATACAGGGATTGAATTTTTTTCCGCCTGGTCTGGGGCTTGAACTCTGGGCCTGGATGCTGTCTTTCAGTTGTCAGCTCAAGGCTAGCACTCTTAACACTTGAGCCACAGCACCACTTCGGTCTTCTAGTGGTTTACTGGAGATACAGAGTCTCATGAACTTCCTGTCTGGGCTGGCTTTGAACAGAAATCCTCAGATCATGGGGCTGGGAGGGTGGCTCAGTGGTAGAGCGCTTGCCCTGCATGCTCGAGGCCTTGGGTTCGATTCCTCAGCACCACATAAGAAAAAAGCCAGAAGTGGCGCTGTGGCTCAAGTGGTAGAGCGCTAGCCTTGAGCTGAAGAGCTGAGGGATAACGCCCAGGCCCAGAGTTCAGGCCCCAAGACTGGATCCAAAAAAAAAAGAAATCCTCAGATCTCAGCCTCCTGAGTAGCTAGGATTACAAGTGTGAGCCACCAACCCATTTTGCTTTAATTTTTATTTTTCTGATAGGGTCTGATGCTTTTTGCCTGGAGCTGGATTCGGTAGGAATTAACTGGAATTACAAATGTGTACCACTATACTCAGTTTATCTTTTGAGACAAGGTCTTTTTATCTTTTGCCCAGACTAGTCTCCAATTGTTATCCTTCCATCCTCCCATACAGGGATTGAATTTTTTTCCGCCTGGTCTGGGGCTTGAACTCTGGGCCTGGACCTTTTCATTGAGCCCCATCTGCTCAAGGCTAGTACTCTACCACCTGATCCTCAGTGCTACTATCTGGTTTTTCTGTGATTAATTGGAGATAAGAGTCTCACGGACATTCCGGCCCAGTCAGTCTCTGAACTGTGATCCTCAGATCTCATCCTCCTCAGTAGCGAGGATTACAGGGATAAGCACCCAGCGCCCAATTGGGATTGAAATTTTATTGTCTAAGCAGAGCCTTTAAAAAAAAAACAACTATTGTTCTTTTGTCAGTCCTGGGGCTTGAACTCAGGGCCTGGGCACTGTCCCTGAGCACTTTTGCTCAAGGCTTGTACTCTACCACTTGAGCCATAGCGCCACTTACAGCTTTTCCTGTTTATGTGGTACTGAGGAATCAAACCCAGGGCTTCACATATGCTAGGCAGGCACTCTCCCACTAAGCCACATTCCCAGCCCCATCAACACTTTTAAAAGGACCATAAAGTTGGGGTGCAGCGACAAATATCTGTTATCACAGTATGGATGAGACCAAGGTGGAAGAACCACTTCAGGAATTTGAGACTAGCTGGAAGCTTTAATAACAAGGAAAAAAGGTGAGGGGGTGCGGGAGAAAGGG